ATCCTAACGGACACCCTTTTTCGCCAATTGTACATTGTACTCCTTTTAGTATCAAAGAAAGGCGAGAAAAAAATGCTTTAAATTTATATACGGCAAATTAGGAGTTTGTGTATTTGGTAACATTCAAAACAATAAATATGAGGTTACTCAGAAAAATAAACATTGCTACTAGCGCAAAGAAAGGATTATTCCCCCTTTGGACCAGTTATACCGTTGAATTCTAGAAATCAATCTTATTTCCCTTTTCTACTGCAGGTATTTTATAACTTTCAAAATGTACAAAGATATTTGAAATCTTCAGACGTCATAAGGGCGTGTATGAGTATCTCAGGTTGAACTGAATGCTAACAAAACCAGCAAGTTATTTATATTCATCAATCATTCTGAGAACATTAAATAGTTTTACTCTACCAAAAGCCCACACAAACGACGCAGTTGATCATTTCAACAATACTTGATCTCTATAACAGTACAATAGGGGAACGCAACATCTAAAAATAAATAATTTACAAAATGTTTTACAAAAGTTTTACTCTTGCAGGAAGAAAACGTGTAAGGCTGTTAATGTTGGAGGTGGACTAACACCAATATAAGTTTTGAGTTTCTTTTTTTTTTAATATTATGACAAAAATATACATTTAATACTTTGTTCATCTTAGTTTTTCTATTTTATATGCAAGAGGTGATCCACGGGAAGAAGTGTCCAATTGTGCAAAATCTAATGCTAAATTGTTCACCAGAAGTTTTGTCACTAACTAGACTGGAAACTTATTCACAGAACTACTGAGAATGAACTGTCTATTTATTAACAGAACATATGGGAAAAAAATACCAGTAGTAGTGATGAAAGGCGTACATCTTATGATTAAGGAACCCCTATCCTAAATCAAATGAAATAATGGTTGCTTTTTAGGTTTTATTTATACAATTACACTTCTCACTTAGCCCTCTTGGATTTGATCTTCCTTAGGTAGAACTCCAGTTCCTTTCCTTCCAGCACGTAGCCATCGGAGCGACCGCACTGGCCAGGCCGACTCGCCACACACGCTATAAAAATCATAGTATTAGTGCTCTACTTAATTAAGATTTAAGACCTTTTTTTTAATAATTGATCAGAGTAACTATGACAAGTACATCATGCAACTGCTAGACTGCTCCCAAAACGGTAACAATCTGTGAACACAGTCTCAAAACTTCTCGACTTCATCATTGTAAATGCACATATAACCTAGAAACAATGCACCTATCTTACCACACAAACCTTTTAATTTAACAAGCCAGTTAATCTTCTGTTGCAACTGTATTTGACTATGCACTTTAATTAGATGTTTTGTTGGATCAATCCAAGTGTGTATTCAATTAATACAGAGTGTTTTTTTTTAATGAGATAGTACGGGGAAATCTGAAACCATAAAAGATACAAGGCTACGAAACCATTAAGGCTTTTTTGTGAAAACAATTTTGGCATATTAAATTTTTTGGTCAAGTTGTTCATAAAAATGAATAAAATTGATCAAAATTTTTTAAGTGGTAATCGACTCAGTTTTATGAAGGGATCATTTCATTGTATGTGACGAAAAAATAGGTACAGCTGAAGTTGGTCAAATTTCATAAAATATTTTTCATACAAAAACATTGATGTAGTAACAAATGGACGTCGGGTTCGCGCTAAAGTGTCCGCACCTATAGGGCGTTAAAATCGCATACCCCTTTCAGCACGAGATTTTTTTTGTGATTGGATTTGATGTTGCATTTTTTATTATGCCGTTAGAAAAAAAAATACAAAAAAAACATCTCTCCCAAAACCCGTTATGAACTTTACCAAAGAGTTAGCGTATTTTTTATGACTAATAAAAATTGTTAATAAAAGGCGACCTAAAAAGCAACGAAATCAAGTATATTAATGAAACGAAGTTTATCACATGTTTCACATGAAATATAACAAAATATGACTTATTATTAATTAACGCAAAATACTAACTAATCCAGATCTTTTTCATCAATTCGTCGTCAAAATATGATGATTGACCACAACTTTGGTGAGCATCACAGGTACTTGAACGGATACTGTTAGAAGATCGACCAAGACTGGATGATAGAAGTGACTGTGGAGAATTCGGAATCCTCTGAAATACGACTGGTCTAGGCTGGTTCCTCCGCCAGTGATACGCTTTTGCGCCTGGGCGCCTCTGGTGGACCCGAACTTGGGTATGGACTCGCTGGGATTTGTGGTTAGCTGCAGAGACGGACATGTTTGTCTGCCCCGGTTGGGTGTGGCCGGGGCGTTTGTCTCGTGAGCAGCTAGCGCGTCTTAGTAGCGGTCTAGTTGAGGGCCTGAAGCGAGAAGACGCGTGAGGCACGTGAGTTGCCCTTTAAGTTGGAAGCTATGTCCGGACGTTGTCACTGCGACTGGCATCTCCGGCACTAGCCCGGAGAGCTAGTAGAAGATAAACTAGATATCCTTCGGTCCCTCCAACCGCTTATGTTATTGGGAACTAGAGAGACTTTTGTTTTTCGGCGTTGGGAAGTGAGCTTGACTTGGCGGGTCGTCGACCTACCACAACTGCGATGACTACCACGACGACTAGATATGAGAGCATTAATCCAGGTTTAGGTTCGATTTCTGCTGAGCTGATAAAGGATCTAGAATGTGACAATGAAGAGTCACTATCACTTTCTATCTTCAGTTCTCAATGTTCAAGGTCAGTTTCACCTAACGATTTGTCAACGTTTCCGATGATTTGTACAACCAAATAGTATGTTAATGTACCTAAAAACAAAAAAATTAAGTAAAAAAAAACTAATCTAGTCATTTCCATCCTGACAAGCACGATCGTGTTTTATGACTGAATAAAAACCAAAATTTGAAACAATTCATTGTTTAATTATTTTTTATGTAAAATGTAACATACTTAATAAGAAAATATACCATTAGGTCAGAAACACGAAATGATGAAATTTAAAAAAAATGTAGCTTTTTCGACCTCCCGTCTGTCACGCTTCGTCAGGGCTACACACTTGTCGCTCCCGGCACAAGTGTGTAGCCTTAGAACACGGCCGCACTGCTTTAACCCATTTGCACCCGCCGTGCCCAATCGAGGACACTACGTTGCGTACCCACTATTAATAATCATTACAAAAGTGTAAATGTAAAGTAAAATAGTGAATCTTGATTTTATTACTTAAAAAAATTGTTTAGAATTAAATAAAAGTGGTTTTACTGTTCCTTTTGCGGGGTTAATTTACGCACACGTGAAACGCTAAAATTAGTAAATTAGTTGTTATTATTAACAATTTTTTTTTTACATATATTGTTGAAATATATTCGTATACTATAAAATAAAAAATATATAATTAGAGTTACATAGTGTTTTGACAACTTCAGACGGTGGTATATAACGGTGTCCCCAATTGGGGCCATTGGGCGCATATGGGGTAGTTTATTAGTTTTTTATCTATAAGTAATTTTCAATGAAATAATGACAACGGGTAATTGGAAGCCACAATTATATCTATTGGCTTCAGAAAGCTGTTGAAGCTGTAATGGATGAGAAAGACCATGACGTGGAGATAGATTTAGGGGGCATTTCCCCTGGAACCGAGTGCGCTCACCGATGTAGAAGTACTATACTTATGTAACGAGATCTAATAATCTTCGGTAAACTGGTTATCGAACAACTGAAACTGTCTGCAAAGGAAAAACTAAGAAGTATCTACAAGTACCACATTTGTAATACACATGAAAAGTAAAACCGAGCAAATTTTGACTAACGATTTTACCCAATCAACCAAATTCTGTTACGTTAATGGGTTAACAGCGATTATTAATCGAACGAACAAAAGATCGGTGTCGATCCGACGCGGTAAACTTGAATACTTTTATACTCAAAAGTTGAACGCACGATCGTATCATTCTGTGCTGTAAGGGATATAGAGCGTCAATCGCGCAGCAGTCTTCGTTTGTTCAACTGACGGCGCGGTGGTCAATTATGCTGTACTATATATAATAATAACTTGTAAAAATTACTGCAGTAAAGTGTAAAAACAGGAATTTGTATCATATTTTTAGCCGACTTCAAAAAAGGAGGAGGTTCTCAATCGGACTGTATGTTTTTTTTTTGTATGTATATTACGCGATAACTCCGGTATTTATGAACAGACTTTCAGGATTTGTTTTTTTGATGGAAAGAGGGTATCTCCATAGTGGTCCCAATTAATTTTGAAAATCATCTACCTCTAAGGGTGGCTGTTCAAGCATGAAGATTCATTTTTATAAATAGCGCCTAAATTTTATTATAAGCAGCAATTATTTTAATGGTTGATTTTGCTATTCACCATCGAGTATAGAGGGTGTAAATTTGAGGCGGGACAGCAAGGTCTTAATCGTTGTAGTTACAGGAAAACGGTTCTAGAAAACATCCATGAACATTGAAGATATTTTGATTGGCGTCACAGATTTTGAAAAAATGGTACAGTCAGCGAGATAAAAGGCAATTTTTACAAAACTTTTTTTTGTATCATTCAATTAACAAATTGATAACGTACTAAGTATTTCAAAATAAAAACAATAACAAAAAGCAAAATAACATAAAAAGATCTATGATAGTAAGTGCTCTGTGGTAATTGACTGCCGCCTTGGCGGATGCATCGATTCGCTCTCTTCCGCAAAGAGCAAAAGTCTCAAATTTACAGCAGAAAGAAACGAAATGTAATTTAATTTGTTTGAAAACTATTCTGCCAAATCATTACGTTGACAACTGCGCTACGATTGGCCAGCCCGAATTCGAAACAATTGACGGGTGTCGTCAATATTGTTTCACTTGAGCTTTGCTATAGTGGACGAAAATTGCATTTTTTTTTGTATTAATTTATTTTATTTATTGTTGTATGTTATATTGGATGCGCAGAGCATGTGTATCCGACCCACATACTTTACGAGTACAGAGAAGTGCAGAATGCCTTAAATAACGTTATTTTAACTGTAGCTGTACATCGTGCAAATCTGCGGGCAAGCATGTACGCCCGGACTGACAACGCTATGCGCTCCCTTTCTATGTCTGCATCATCTCCAAGGTCTTCGGTAAGCAAATGTCCAAAGTATTTGAACTAGTGCACGGGGAACACCATTAAGTAAAATAGGTGGAAAAAAGAAAGGACATTTGGTTCCCGCCCTAAAGATCATGTACTCAGTTTTTTTGACACTATAAATTAAGCCATGAGATGCCGCAAATGACTCGCATACGGCGAGCAGCTGTCGTAAAGCAATGACTGATGGTGCCAACAGCACCATGTCATCCGCATAACTGATGCTGTAACTGAGGCACATACACCAACAAAACAGCCTACACGCATGCCATCGAGTCCCTCAATCAGCTCATTTATATACAGATTGAAAAGCAGATGAGAGCTCAGCCCCCCTCGTCTCACTCTGCATTTTAACCTGCATGGAGCCGAATACTCCCACGCCCACTTCGATTTTCCTGATTTAAGTACCAGTACCTAAATCGCACCCCGGACACTACATACAACGGTCGAAAATTATTTACCTACTACTACTACTACATACAGCAAGGCGCTATCTGCACACGCGCAAATGTGTGCGTAAAGTGGCAGGGTTATTCATCACTTTCTCCCACTATTACATTACGTGGTCAGCGGGAACATAGCGAAAATTCTGACGCGCATCTGTTATCTATGATTATATTAATGGAATCCTAATAATTACACAAGTCTATTAGGTATTTATATCGATATATTATTATATTTTTCATTAATTCACTAACTAGAGTAATATTGAAGCTTGATTTCAAAAATATATTAAAAGCACTTAAAATGTTTTATTTCGGACATGTACTTTTAAGTAAGGTAACCAAGGTATTTGAAATTGCTTGTCCAAGTCTAGTTAATAATTAGATATATTCACTACCTACGTAATATTTATCGGCAATACGAATAGAAAATTCGCGAAGCAATGGCGTCTCATTATATTGATATAACAAATCTGTATCTTTTATACATACGTTACTCTGCAGTAAATAAATTAAAAAAACAACAACTGAATGAGTCTAAGACATAAGTTTTTTTCATTTACTTCGTTTCGTCTTTCGGAAAATGATGATAACCAGCCGTACACAGCACAATTCACGACCATTATAAATAGTAACGTAAAATGATGTTTTATATTAAAGTACAAGTTTCGTAATGAATACATGAAAACTATATTCAAATATCAAAGCCTTGTTGTCGTTCAGTTAATGTGACCGGCAATGTGCGGTATCGAAAACTAGGGAGGGGCGGAGAGTGTCCGTTCCCTTATTCTTTATTCTCTGCCTAAACAACAAAATTAGCTCTGGCGGTAGTTCCGTATTTTCCAGCTTCTTCCAGAGGATGTCGTAACAAACAGTGTTCATGAAACAGGCATAAATAGGCGTCTCTGTATCTGTATAGTACTTGACAGTGTGCTTCAAACTAAGAATAGCAGTCTCTGTTGACAGTCCAGGCACAAGTTCAAACTGTGCAACATGAAGCTTAACGTATTTCTTTAAATATGAATTGAGCACACTGTCAAGTACCTTCGCTACTATTGTGGCTAAAATTGGATTTGTCTGAAACATCCCCTGTCTTATTCTTGACTATAGGCACCACCAGTCTTTACCAAATTAGAAGGTAGATACGAGTGACTTAGGCAGAGGTTATAAAGCATGGCGAGTATCCGCGGAAAATGCACGCCAGCTTGCCGAAAGTGTTCGAGACAGAGGCCATCATGACCTGGCGATTTACCTTTCGTCATTCGTTTTATCACTATTTTGAAGTCTTTGGCGAGAATAACTATTTTAAGCCTTCCAATGGCCTCAGTGTCAAACCCCCTCTACGGCGTTCCCAATGGTGACTGAACTTTAAAATGCTGCAGAAACAAGTTTGCAATATCGCTAGGTCTGGAAGCACCATCGACACACACAGCAGCGCTTGGCTTAGCATTCAACTCATTTATGACTTTGCCTTCGCATTTAGCCAATGAAACGGATATGGTAGGTTGTGTAGGTGGGTAGCTATTATAAATCGGCATGCATATTTAAGTTTGACATTATTATTTTCGATAAATAAGTCCAGTATAGATTATAAACATCTTTGTTGCATAAATAATAGTGAACTGAAAAACTACATATTCAATATTTAATTACCTACTCATGAAATGTGATTCCGTTTGTTTCGTAATTAGATGTTTTGCTGTTTTTCCCACACCACCGAATGGAACAACCGCCCATTGTTAGAGATATTATCTTTGTTACAATAAATACAGAATATTTTTGAAATATACGGAGGCGTACACACGGTCAGTTGTTGGCGCTGTACTATATCAGCTTTCTAATGCGCGATTTAAGCGCATACGAGAGTCAAGGCCCAATTGCCTGATGAGTTGCCAAGGATGGATGGCCCTTGTTTCGTCTCTATTTCTGGTTATATACTCAATGGTTTGCACAAAAAAGACTTAATGGTTCCTACATTGACTTACAAATAAATGGACGACGGGTCTAATACAAAAACCACGAAAAAAATGTCCCAAGTCAACCTATTCGAAATTTAAATTGTAATGTCATCGCAGTATCGCGCTGTCAGTAGAACAAATGAAGACTAAAGCGGAGTGTCGCGCTCTGTATACGATTTTAGCGCCTTACAAGTGCGGACACTTTTTAGCGCGGACCCGACGTCCATATAATTGTACGTCAATGGGTTCCTAAGACAGTTTCCTTATATATTCTATTTTATCAGATTTCCCCTTACTGTACCATTTAAAAAAAAACCACTATATTTATTAGTACATATACAGTGTGTAGATTTGCATTCTTATGAAATTAATAATAGAATTAATGTTCAACCATCTAAAAATATTAAAAACAATATTTTGTTCTATATTCTGGCTACTTCTAACTAGTAAAGGTTTGCAAAATCGTCCCTAAATCGTATGCACCACGCGCGGCCAATGACCCCGTCACGCCAGCAGGTTCACCGAGCGATACGTAATCTTTCTCAATGGCTTATTTACCTAATTTTTATTTATGATTATGTACTCGGTATTGTTACAATTTGAAAGAAAAAACTTTTTTGTAACGAGTTAGTACTTACCAACTTTAGGTTAGGTACATGAAAGTATTGCTAAAAGTATGTACTACTAGTATGTACTAGCTCCACAACTGGTAGCTGGCTTCCTTCCAGTGCCACCACCAGCTAGCTATGCAAAGATTCACACGGGAGTTACAAGTTTCTTAGCACATTTGGCGCAATACTTCGACACTCGTAATCTCCTACGTGTAAACTAAACGTTTCACATCATCCCCTTATGGGATAATAGTCACGCACTTGCACTTGGTGGTAATGCAAGTTCTGTCAGTTGATAGCAATACTTTCTCAGTTCCTCCGGCTGCGCTGTAACTTCTGGTAGCACGTGCCGTTCAAGTTAATGTACTTTGAATCAAGAAGAATCAGGTGATTGCGAATCGATGTTTAGCGCAATTAAATAAAAAATAAGAACTTAGGACATTCTTTTCGATTTCTTTTTTTAGTTATTCAAGTTCAGTTCCGGATATAGAATGACCTCTGTAAATATGGCGAGATTGCAAATTGCAACACATTGTATATTCCACAGAATGAAATGAAAGCTATTGACAGTATTTACTGGATTTGGATTTACAGATTATGGGTAACTGCTTTATTATAATAACCTGGTCTATTATAATTATAAATAATAAAATGCAAAAAAAATGTAATGAAAAAATATCAATTAGGCTAATATAAATAAAAGTAATATCTAAAGAACAATAATAGCAGCAGTAAAGCTCCTTGTGAGTTAATCCAAGGAAGTATTGCATATCAACTATTTCTGCCGCCAAACACTAATGTTAGTAGGTAACTATTTAGTATTCTGTGGCAGCATTCCGGTTTTTTAGGGTAAGGGTGCTGTTAAAATTATAGGCACATGAGACTTGCCAACGTATGATTTTTTAGGGTGACGGCGCAGTGGCAGTGCCCCATAGATCTTTGCAATTTCAAGCTCCAAGTGGCGCTGCAACTATTATGGACAGGCGTGTAGCTTACCATCAGCCAGGCGCACAACTTGTGCATCCCATCACTTGATATTATATTTAAAAAAATCCATTTATCAATTTACAGAAAATTGCTAACTGACCTAGTAAACGTCCAGTATGGAATTGCTCCTCCAGGGCTGCTTCCACCTTCGCAAGGCGCTGTCTGGTCAAGTACTTCTTGGCGGTCTTCTTACTGCGCTTTTTGTTGATGATTGCCTCCTCAGCCTCTGTCTATTATTACAAAAAAATATAACAAAAGTGTAATAAATGTACAAACAGATAAATTCTGTTTCTACTGTCAGGCACGTTAAATTGGTTTTAATCATGGCAAGCAATCCAGGTATCATTTGACACGCATTTGTCATCATTTAGAAATTTCAATCTTTTGAACTGGCATACACTGGCTTTAAGCGGTTATTAAGATGGTGGACGCCAGTGATCAACAAGCACAAGTATTTAATGGCACACACTGGCCATAATAACACATTTTTAATTGGTAAGGTTATTTTACTGGGTGTTCATTATTGGTGAGTGTCTATTACTGGTTAGTTAATTAGTGGCTTTTAAAATATTTGCTGCTTATAATAAAATTTACGCACTATTTATAAAAATGAATTTTCATGCGTGCATAACAGCCACCCTTTGAGGTGGATGATTTTCTTCAAAATTAAATGGGACCACTATGCAGATACCCTCTTTCCAACAAAAAAAAGAATCGTGAAAATCGGTCCACAAATACCGGTAACATACATACAAAAAGAAAAAAGTTGAATTGAGAACCTCCTCCTTTTTTGGTCGGTTAAAAACAAAAAAGTATTTCAAATTTAAAGACACCTTAAAATTTCAATCACTGGTGCCATGACCCTCCTATAAAGAAATATTTATCTTTAAGATATTCTTTCTATGTCCACCAATATTAGGTCCTTACATGTGAAACTGGCGTTTTGTATGGGAGAAATATAAAGTAAATTTTTTATTTAATTAATCAAAGTATGCACCATTGTTATCGATGCACTTTTGCCACCTCATGTAGTTCATTGATCCTTACTAGAAAAACCATAGGGGCGAGAATCAATGAACTCTCTGAAGGCAGTTTGGATTGCCACATTGGAGTTGAATTTTTTTCCTTGTAAGAAGTTATCCAAATTCCAGAAAAAATGGTAATCTGTTGGAGCAAGATCCGAGGAGAATGGTGGATGTTGCATACATTCCACTTGCAGCTCCTCTAGTTTAGCGGCCGTCTGTTATGCAGCACGTGGTCTAGCATTGTCCTGAAGCAGCAGTGGCCTAGAGCGATTGACCAGTTACTGACAATAGATATCTATCGTAATCATTTGGCCAGATTTTAGAAAGCTGTAGTAAACAATACCGGCCAGTCCACTGAGTCAAATGTCGCTTGGGGTAGGATTTGGCTGGTTTTTCAGGGTTCTGTTCATTGCGACGAGCGCTTCTGATCATACAGGATCCACTTTTCATCAAAGGTAAATGATCCAATTTAAAATCCCTTCATTATTGTGTCCAATTTTATACATAAGGACCTAATAATTAAGAAGAAAAATTTTACTCACCAACTTTGCACCCTTCTTTCTGCCAAGAGGCAGCAGATAGTGTGACTCATACCACTGCCTGAAGGGGGTGGCATCTACCACAACAATAGCATTCTTCACCAGTGTCTTTGTGCGCACCAACTCATTGTTGGATGCATTATATACCACATCAATTATACGTGACTTGCGGGTGGTACCTGCAATGTTACAAAAACAACATCTAGAAAACTTTAATATTCATAAAACAAAAAATTCTGTCCATATCCTTTCACAAAACACAATCACAAAAATTCCGTTGGTTTACTACACAAAATCTAAAATGATCTTATTCTCATAAATCTAAGCACTTAGCATTCTTACATTCAGAACCCCAAGAGAAATTGCCAGTATCAAGACGCAGCGCGCGGTACTTGGTATTGCCTCCGCGGGAACGAACCAGATGAATGCGCTGCGCACCGAGCTGAAATAAATAAATATTTACTTTGAGCGATGTTACAAGTTAAAACTATCACAATATGTCACGTTTGTTTTAATTGAAGTTGTTCCTTACCTGTAGCGACCGTTGGGTATTACGGCTAACAAACATAAGAACTCATAACGACTACAACGGATCTTGGCACATTTCGAGGTTAGTTTAACGAATTATAGGTTATCCATCATACCTTAGTGTTGGCAGCCGGGCGACCTAACTCATATTTCCTCTTCTTGCGGATGGGCGCGCGTTTACCACCTGTAGCCCGCCGCTTATGCCAATGATCACGACTGATACCTGCACAATGAACAAAACCGTGAATTCAAAGCACTTCACAAAAATACCACTCATTTAACAATTATTTTCACACTACACAAATGCAGTTAATTACAGAAATATGTATGAAAACAAGTTCGTGGTTTAGAACACCGTGTTTTAGAAGGAATTCGTCAATAATTTATTACGGCACAGTACAGATATTTTAAGATTTCATACAAATTAATAAATTTTACTCACCCATCTTGACTGGGTCGGAAAAGAAAAGATTTGTTTGACGTACGGAACTACTATACCTCTACAACTCTGTAGTCTATGGATTGTAGTCTTTTTGCGATTAAATAATCGCTTTCAAACCGGTTTTTTAGTACAGTCCGATATTATATTACACAATCTAAATAAACTGTGTTTTCTTCGAAAATTCTTATAGTATATTGTTGTCAGCAAATAATCTTTCGAAGACATTAATTTATTCTTATGTATCAAAGCTCAAAGGACCGCGCAGGAAGGGCGCCCTTTTCAAATAGAAAATTTCACTTATGCTTCAATTGTACTTAATAACAATGTAAAACATAATTGAACTCAAAAAGCCATAAGATTTTCACTTATATTAAATAGAATTTCCACAATTCACTGACACACGACTCGTTTCACACAAGAAACAAATGAAATTGAAAAATAAAAATGAATGTTGATAGTAGTTTCAAATTAGAACACTTTGATTTTTATTAGGAGATATTGGCTAGATAGAAAATCGAACGTCAATGTAGCATAAAATAGTTCAAGGATTATCCTTTGAAAAATCTCGAATATATATTATTATTATTAT